TTTTATTAGTCAAAATTTGTTTGGTATTTGCAAAGATGTTCTTAAAAAAAACATTTACCGTACCTGAATCAGGCAAAAGAGAAATGTGTGTAGGTCATGTCATATGGCTACATTGTGTTTTATACTGCAAGTCATTGAATTTGTTTACAAGAACCTGAAAAACCATGAGTAATATATTGACTTTCTGTCAATTCATCAATTATTTTGTTCACCTAAATCATATATCTTCACCTACTTGAAATGTCAGCTATTTGTATCGTTATATTCCAAAATAATAGGAATTGTGTGCAAATTGTAAACATTTGCTGTCTTTTAAAAAAAAAAAATATTTTTTTTATTTTGAAAGCAAACCTGTGACACAAATCATGTTTTGTTTGATTAAGAATGAAAGTCAGGAATGCTTTTCAACATAATTTTCGTACAAAATAGTTGAAAAAACGTTAACGTTGACGGAAAACCATGATGAATAAAACAGAAATTTTGTTACAAACTTGTTAACAATGGTGTAATTTGTCAGCACAGGTCACTGCGTTTGCTTACAATTTAAAAAATAAGGCGAACCCCTCTGGCATTATGAAACATCAAACAAAAGCATGTAGGTAAACTGATATAGCTTATGTTTGTCATTGCGAAGATTAGTGTGTCATGTTATATCTCTAATTTATAATGGTATAGTAGTTATATAGTGTCATGATATATATTCAGATATTAATATACTGTATGTTTGTACATAAATAGTTCAATCTAATATAAAACCAAGATTTCAAACTATCAGATTGGAGATCTTACTAAAATTACTTTGATCTAGGTTGTTATATAGACTGTTAAACTAGTCTTTCAATTCTGTGAAGTATTTATTATGGCAATTTGTCTCATGTCATTGAATGCTGAATATACTCTCTTTAAAAGTTGTTAACTTGCTATTATAGAAAGATAGAAAATAAGATTTGATCAATTTACTTCCAGATTGTGAATTTGACATTGAACTGAAAGGAAGAAATTTTTTATATAAAACTATAAAAAGTGGTACTCAGACCTTACAAGATCAGGTCTATAAATAATCTATGTCTTTTTTGGATTCCAATTATTTCTTTAAATCATGTCCCAGTTTTGGGACAAATTTTGACCTCATTAAGTAGTACAACTTTAAAAGAAGCTTTCAACATAAATCTTCATAGCCTAGAGTTATTTGGGATGAAGAATTCTCTAATAGATATTAAAATCATGCCCCTGAAGTAAAAATCAAAGTGCTGCAGCACTGAATGCGACGGACATGCAACCGGAGAGACACCAAGGCTTCTTTTAGAAAAACAAAACAAAATAAAAACAAAACACAAAATATATAACAGAGAAAATTTGTTCCATACAAGTTCGAGATTTGTAGAGCAATATATTTTGTGTCTCAAATTGATATAATTCAGATTTTCTACTTTCAAGCACTTAAATACAGAATGAAATTTATGCCTAAAAACTCTGGTCAAACTTGTAAATCAGTGTCCTTATCGATTTATTCTAGGAAATGATATGTAAATAGAAAAAAAACTATCAACGAAATATTTCTAGAATAAATCCAGGCAAATAAACTTCAAACATAATACATTGTACATTTGAGAATGCTATTTAGAATTGCTTCGTGTTATATCATAGTGGGCATACAGACAATAAAATATAAGTCATTTGTATTTTTATTTCTCTTGGATATGTCTCATTAAAAAAAAATTGGTTAAAATCATCAGCAATTAATAGTGTATTTCTTAGATTTTTTTCATTTACAAGGTAAAGATGTAGAGGCCAGAGCACATCGTTTTTATTTTAATTTAAATGTCACTTAAGCACTACAGTGTTTAGTTGTCCTTTTCAACTTCACACTAAATTCCATTTTCAACTTGTTTGCTTCTTACAATTGTATAGCATTTCTAAAACTATTGCATTACAATCCGCTGGTTGTACTTCCTAATCGCCTGTCCAAAAATCAGAACAGGTAAAGCAGAATCTATTTTTAGAATATCGAAGGTTAACTCATATCATGACCTAGTAAAATATGTAAACAAACCACAAGAATCGGAAGTAGAACTGATATTATAACTTCCTTACCATGATTTCAAGACTACATGGCGGTAAAGTGTCTTACATGCATTTTCAAAAATAGATATTTATACTAGCAATTGAACTGTATCTAATATATTAATAACTGCTGAATATTCAGCTAAACCCGCGGTATGAGTCAGGAAAATAGTTCTTCTTTTATTAATGCGCGAGTTATCCTAGAGTCACGAAAAACTTTTGATTTGTTAATAATAATGTTTTGTATAATGTAGAAATATTTATTTCCTACTAATAATGTCTTGGAACTCAGAGGTTACACTTTATTGTAGTATAATTTGCTGTCCTACTTTTTCGACAGCGGTAAATCGTTTCAGCAGTAATTTGCATATTGCGCAATAATACTACGGGACTACAACGTTTTTATCAATAATATACGTTCATATTTTAACTTGGATAACTTAATTTGAAATTGAAAAGGCAAAATATGGAAGACATTAAGATATCCAGACAAAGTATGGGAGTTTTGAAGGATAAAATTCATGTACTATTTCTTGGGCTGTTAATTGGTTTAGGACACATTGCGCGAGTGTAGCCAACGAAATCCCATGTGTAGATGACTTAGCTCTGAACGCGCCTGAGGGCGTGTCCGTCGCAATTACAGGTAAACTCTACATCCCCTATCCCTGTATTGACAGGAGACTGTTTGATACTAGAACACAATGTGATTTCAGCTGGGTTTATTATAGACATATGGCAGATGATGACTCAATCACAGAAAAACACAAAATCTTAATTAGCAAAACATTTTCAGGAAAACTAACTTGTCAAATAGAGATGTCTTGTCTTGGTAACTGATAGTAGTTTTTTTGTTGTTTTTTCCCCTGTGGTTTGTATTCTGCATAGGTAGTATAGTAGGGCATGGTTGCAGAAAACCTGCAAGTGTAAAATGTGTTCCAGTTTTGCAAATGATGAGAGCAGAAAATATATGTCAAGGTTACTCTTACAATATACATATTATTATATATGTGTAGTTGCTGATACTTTATATTATGAGGTTATATTACATTGTTGTTTACAATACTGAATTCTATTAGCTGTCAAACATAAATTAGCAGAGTCCGGTATAGGTTTTGCAGCTGTGTACAAGTCCAAAATCATAATTATACCCCTGCACAACAAAGTTGTAAGGGGGGTATACTGGAATCAGCTTGTCCGTCCGGCCGTCCATCCGTCGGTTTTTTCTTGTCCGCCCAATAACTTAAGATTCCTTGACCCTTAGTCTTCATATTTGGCATGGAGGTTAGTCATGATTAGTAGATGACCCCAATGATTTTGAGGTCACTAGGTCAAAGGTCAAGGTCACAGGGGCCTTGACTTCAAAAAGCTTGTCCGCCCAATAACTAAAGATTCCTTTGACCTACAGTCGTCATATTTGGCATGGAGGTTAGTCATGATTAGTAGATGACCCCTATTGATTTTGAGGTCACTAGGTCAAAGGTCAAGGTCACAGGGTCTTGACTTCAAAAAGCTTGTCCACCCAATAACTTAAGATTCCTATGACCCATAGTCTTCATATTTGGCATGGAGGTTAGTCCTGATTAGTAGATGACCCCTATTGACTTTGAGGTCACCAGGTCAAAGGTCAAGGTCACAGGGGCCTTGACTTCAAAAAGCTTGTCCGCCCAATAACATAAGATTCCTTTGACCCACAGTCTTCATATTTGGCATGGAGGTTAGTCATGATTAATAGATGACCCCTATTGACTTTGAGGTCACCAGGTCAAAGGTCAAGGTCACAGGGGCCTTGACTTCAAAAAGCTTGTCCTCCGAAATAACTTAAGATTCCTTTGACCCACAGTCTTCATATTTGGCATGAAGGTTAGTCATGATTAATAGATGACCCCTATTGACTTTGAGGTCACCAGGTCAAAGGTCAAGGTCACAGGGGCCTTGACTTCAAAAAGCTTGTGCGCCCTATAACTTAAGATTCCTTTGACCCACAGTCTTCATATTTGGCATGAAGGTTAGTCATGATTAGTAGATGACCCCTATTGATTTTGAGGTCACCAGGTCAAAGGTAAAGGTCACAGGGACTTTGACTTCAAAAAGTTTGTCTGCCCAATAACTTTAGATTCCTTTGACCCACAGTCTTCATATTTGGCATGGATGTTGATCATGATTAGTAGATGACCCCTTTTGATTTTGAGGTCACTGGATCAAAGGTCAAGGTCAAAGGGACTTTGACTTCAAAAAGTTTGTCCACCCATTAACTTAAGATTCCTTTGACCAACAGTCTTCATATTTGGCATGGATGTTGATCATGACAATAAGGTGACCCCTATTGATTTTGAGGTCACTGGGTCAAAGGTCAAGGTCACAGGGACCTTGACAAAAAAAAAGCTTTTCTTCTCAATTGCTAAAAAATGTCCTGTCTGCAATGTATTGATTTTGACATTTTCACATTTGAAGCATGTAGAATACATAACTTAGCAATGTACTGGCTTAGTAACCCCAGATTTGGCAGGGAGGTTGTCCTTGAGCTCTAAATGGCCACTGTTGATTCTGACAAAGTGGTATGCGGGGGTATTCACGCCTTGATAGTGGCAGTTCTAGTTATATGATGTCCACATAAGACCTCCCTCTTTCACAAGCATTAAATCAAAGAAAACACTTACCATCAACATTGATTTTGTATAGTAGAATTACTTTGAGTACAATAATGATATGATATGGGTGTGGCTAGATGGAGTACAATATTGATTTGATATGGAATTTTTAGACTTAGAAAATATAAACAAGCTTAGATGGAATATAATTTGGCTTTGATGGCTGAAAATTTATTGGTTACGTTTTATAAGGTGTGATATAAAGGTAAATATCTTATTCTTTATTCTCATAGTTTTTAGTCATGTTGGCTTACAATATTATTATGATAATTTCTCTGTTTCTTTCAGGGGCAAATTCGCTGTGGTGAGAAAATGTACAAACAAAAAAACAGGGGAAGTGTTAGCAGCAAAGTTCATCAAGAAAAGGAGAAGAGGAAAGTCCTGTCGAGAAGAGATATTGCGGGAAGTTGTCATGCTGGAAATGGCACTCGATCATCCACGACTGGTGAATTTGAAGGAAGTGTATGAAACCCAACAAGAACTTATACTCATAACAGAATAGTAAGCATTGTGAACCATTAACCTTAGTACATAAATTTTGAGATCTTTTGATCACAATATGCAGTGATTTTTTTTTCCAATTTTCAAAACAACCTGTGACTTTCGGAAGGGGAAAATATAGGGCGATAAATAAGAAAAGGGGGAAAACCTGAAATTAAATTCCAACAACTGAAAATGGAATTAACCCACACATTTTACAGTTTTATGAAAAAAATTAATATCAATTCAATTTAACATGCATTGTACATAGCAGAGGCTATCAAAAGGGATAGCTTTCTGACTTCTAGCTAAGTCAGATGCTGTTAAGTCATGGTTCTGGTAATGAAGAGCACAAAAATTTTAGGGGAAAATACAAGCATTTTTAGGGGAAATATGCCTATTTTTTAGCTAGGGGAAACAGCCTTTATTGGGCTGTAAAATACAGTGAAAAAAATCACTGGTATGGTATATCACATATTTTAATTTTTCTGTAATTTTATAGATTTGAACAGTACCATACAAGTACACAAATTTAAACAGTTTAAAAGGAGCCACATAGGATTCATGGTTGCTGTTTAAGATGTTTGTTTCTTATCCATGTCTAACTAACTTAGTGGTTGACTTACATAGGGTTTGCGTACATAGTGTTTTCTAGAAAGTCCCATGGTTTAAATGAATGGTTAAATGAACGCTATTGGGAGCAAACTGTCACAAATTTTCAAATTTAAGCCTTTTCATCAGACAAAAAAGTAGGAGAAAGACTAATTAAACATTACATTTTAATTATAAAAAAGTAGTGTAAGAACTTGAAGAGAGGCAGGTTTGTGTGTGTGTTTTTTTGCATTATGAAAGGCAATCCTTCAAAGCATTGCAAGTTGTAACTAGAGCACCATAGTGCAATAACTGATTAACTCTAATTAAATTTAGAAGGATTTAACCTGTTACTGCAATAAGCTGATGTTGAATGAATTAGAATATGCTTTTTTGCCACTCAGTGTCATTTTTCTGTTCAGATCTCTCATCTGAAAACACATTATATATGTGTTAACCTTGTTTTCTTGTCTTTAAATCTATTGATAAACATTGAAAAGATTACATTTTGATAAATGAAATAAAAAAAAAATATATCAATTTATAAAACTGTTTATACCACCTAGGTAGGTTTATTATATATAATGGACACACTGAGTACAAATCATGAAAACGAATGAAAGATTTGCTGAAGGGTAAATCAGCTGGGAGGTATTAGTCATCATCTATGTGTGTCACTAGGCTTTAGGCAGGAAAACTTCTCTTGTAGCATAATGTGCATATACTCTTGAGGAATACAAAATTACCTTTACTGCCTTATATTTTTTTAGCTCACTGAAGTGCAAAGTGCTTAGAGGTGTACTTTTGTTTTTGCTTGATGTATTACACTGCATATACTCCCAAACCACAGGGTTAATTTTTAACCAAACTGCAAATTTCTTTAGGTGGGCATTATACAAAAAAAAAGGCAAATAAGAAAGAAGCCAAACTAGGATTTCAATAAAACCTCTTTCAAACTTTATATAAAGCACTATAAATAATTAAATATAAACATATGGCTTACATGTATTAAGGTGAAATGTAGTGAATAAGAGCAATTTAGCAGCCCAAAGGTCAAGGTCTCAGTTGAATGTCAAAAGCCAATGGCTATGATAGTGCATTGATAGTTGTGTCTGATCAACTAGGCTTAATTTTGTGGTTGAATTGGGAGAATGAAGAGTATTCTTGGATGTCAAAATAATACATTGATGGTTATGTCAGGTCATATCTTAGTAATTAATTCATTGATATTTATTTCTTAAGTAATGAGAAAGCTGAAAATATTCTTTGCTCTTGTAACCTTCTATTATAAGGTAATCATGCCTTTGTTGCAAGTCAAAGATCATGGTTCCTTAACTGGGCCCAGTTTGGGGGCATATACATGTATTTCTCTGTTTCAAACAATTGAACAGGGTCTTGTCATTTATGAAATAAGCATATGTATTGTTACTCAAAACATTATTAGTATTTTATACATAATATGTAGTAGTAAAATAAATCCAAAAGTTTTAAATATGAATGATAATTATGTTAAATGAATGATGTTAATGAATGAAATATTTTTTTGTCTAGCTGTGCTGGTGGTGAGTTATTCACAGAGTGTATATTAGAAGAGAAGTTTAATGAGGCTGATGTACGACTGTTGATGTCTCAGATATTAGAGGGCCTTGTCTACCTACATGAGAAGAATATTGTTCATTTAGACTTGAAGGTATATCTTTATTTCATGTATAATTAACAGATTTTTAGCTCACCTGAATATTGGGCATCCTCAGGTGAGTGGTTAAGGTTGTTGACTTCAAGCCATTTTCCCCTCACAGCTGGGTTTGAATCTCGAGAGGGACTATGGATTCTTTCATGTGAGGAAACTATCAAGCTAGCTTACAGAATGCGGTTGGTTTTACTTGGGTGCCCATTGGTATCCTAAAAATGCACGGAAGGGCACCTTAGGTCTTTCTTCATCAGTAAAGCTAGAAATTCGCCATATGACCTATACGGTGTTGATGTGACGAAATCCCAACAAAAAAAAAATGAAGAAACTCCTCTGACATTAAGGTGATGAAAGGTTTTTATGACAGGCTGATATTGTGTGATGTTTATACAAATATTTGTCATGGACCATTGGATAGATTTTGGCCAAATCTGACAGGAATGATCTTAAATGGTCATTATCTGATGTAAATTTTTGTCACTAGAGCTAAAAAATGAAATATTTAAATAAAAACTTCTTGTCAGAAACTACAAAGGTCAAAAACCTAGATATCTGCTTGAATTTTTCTATGGAGCAATTTTGATCAAAATATGTGATAGCATTGTGTCACAAAGTCTGCAAACATGTGAAAAAGTACAAGAGCAACATTTAGAAAATATATGCCATTGGAATCACGAAAATATAATCAAAATCCATTTCATGAAATTCACATTGACTTTATTTGATGCTTATTGAACTAAAAATAACCTTTTATTGTAAGGAAAGAGCAAGGACGAAAACATAATATTTCTATGTTTTGGTTTATTTCAGCCACAGAATATTCTGTTAACAGACGAGTTTCCGAAGGGCTCTGTGAAGATATGTGATTTAGGATTTGCATGTTTAGTAAATACTGGTGAAGATATACGAGACATTATAGGCACTCCAGACTATGTTGGTATGTATATAGAGTGTCAATTACAATCATGAACAAATTCCAGCGTATAATGGTATTAGTCTGGTTGTCAATCTGTCAGTCCCTTAATGCATGTGGGCTTTAGAACTTTTGACTTTGGATTCTTACATTTGAGGAAGCTATCCAGCTAGCCTACAGATTGTTAGTGGTGCCTGAAATAATTCACAGAGGACCACCTGAGGTCAACTTCCATCAGTAAAGCTGGAAAGTTGCTATTTGTCCTTTACTGTGTCAGTGGTTGGTATGACGTAATCCTCTCCCCCACCCCCCTCTCTCTCTCTCAAAGAAAAATATAATAATGAAGGAAGTTGATTGAAACCACTTAGCAGAAATGTCAACCAGTGACATTATGTATTTTATTGATATTCTGCTCTATTATTGATAGTTTTAAACTTAGTTTACAAAGATCCTTTTGATGCCTGACATTCTGAAATGTTAAAAACATTTTCCTGACAATGCAGGCTATTAGTCATCGTACAGGTCAAATTACTTGAATAAATTCTATTTAAGTTGTACATTCTAGCCAAGCACAATGCACACACATTTGTTACGTAATTAGGACTGTAACAGACCAAAATTATTGACTGAGGAGATTTTAAGTGTCTATGATTTAATTATTTTGAAACTAGACTATATTTGTAATTTAAATTTGTTAAACTTATAATATGTAAATTCATTTACTAAATTTCCTATACCTGTAGTTGAAAATGATACTTTATAGTACATCAAATTATAAAGCTAGGTATCAAAACTAGGGTTGTTATTGAATCATGTCTAGGGTGCGTGTAAACATTGCTACTATTTTATCCTATTGTGTGTAGAGATTTTCATAAGTGAACGACTGATATGGGTGGATGGGTTGATATTCAGTTCCTGTTCTTATAATTGAATGATGCAGTTTCATAAAACTGTTGTTGAAAAGAAGAATTACCAATATTACAATTTCAGACAGTTTTATTGCCCTGACTACCACAGCTTTTCTGAATTTCTATCCTTCCTTGATTGTACATGTTAAAAAAAATTCACATCCTTTTTGTGATTGTTACGAAATAATGACATGCGTGTAATATGATACATGTGAACAATTTAGTATACCCAATTTATACAAAACATCATGCTTTAAATATTTCGTGTCTTACTTTCACGTACTTCCTCTTTTGTGTTATATACATATATGGTAATAACAGATACAAAGTGCTCATGTTTGTCATATGAGGCGCGTCATGACAAAACCAACATAATGGGTTTGCGACCAGCATGAATCCAGACCAGCCTGTGCATCCGCGCAGTCTGATCAGGATCCATATTGTTCGCTATTAGTTTCTCTACTTGTTATAGAGTTAGTAAGCGAACAGCATGGATCCTGATCAGACTGTGCAGATGCGCAGGCTGGTCTGGATCCATGCTGGTCGCAAACACACTATGTTGGTTTTGTCGTGACGCGGCTCATATATTGCTGTCATAATGAACATTGACTATTTTATTTATGTAACATTTACATATATTTGCAGTTACCATTGATTTTTCAATGGTATTATATTCTATATTCAAAGAATGATGTTTCTCAAAATTGAGATTTTAAAATTATTGCTGAGTAATTCTGTATTGAATGGCTCAGATTGTGTGTTAAAGCAGCATGCCTCCAGATTCATTCTTTTTTGTCATGAAAATATTAAAAAATGTATTTAAAAGTATAATACATTGTATTGTGAAGTGAACAAAGAAAATAATTTACACATTGCAAGCAGCACTTGCAATCCACTTGAATTACAAAAAAAAGAGGTCAAAATAAGCAAAATATAGCCCTTGTAGCATTAGTATCGCAATAGAAAAATTGTGATACATACTGCAAAATCAGTCATTAATCATATATTATAACATAACATGCAAACTTTTGCTTGAATCTTAGATCTTTTAACTTCTTTTAAAGTCTTAGTACATTTTTCTCAAGTTTAATTTTCTTGAAATATTTTGGCTCATCTGGAGGCATGCAGGAAACAGACATAGATGTGTCACTTTTTTTGTAGAAATATGGACAAAGAAAGCAATCAAAATTGCACATTTCTTGTGTTGATTTAATGGTATTAATGGATGATCCAAATAAATCTAAAGATTTTTTACAGGTTTTATGGCCCTATATAAACTTTTGTTTGCATATATAACCATAGCCAGTAGAAAAAACAGCCGTCTATAAAGGGCCATAATTATAACCTCATCCATTCAAAAAATTCTTAAAACAAATTCATTATACAACAAACTTCCTTTATTAAAAAAGAAAAAAAAAAAAAAACTTCATAAATTGACATCAGCAGTGTATATAGTTTATATAAACTTGACAATTATCCAATACAAAAAAAGAAATATTAGAAACGTGAAGTATTGCAAAAAAATATGTAATACAATCTTTTTATATTATCTTCTTTCTTTATCTATGTTGCAATGATTTTATAAATGATTATTTTACTATTATTTGGAATTTTTAAGTGTGGTTAAAACTTTTTTATCAAGTTAACCTCATGAAAAAAATATAAAAAAAACAAGGATATTTAAATATTCTTTCTAATCTACAAAGGTGTCTAGCTGCTAATATTTGCAAATTGGCTCTGATCTTGATAATAACAATGAAACAAAAGAAGTCCAAATGCATTCCTTTGAAAGATATATATAAAGAATTATAGCAAAAACAATGGCATTTTTTTTTTTTTTTTTGGAAATCATCATTAAAAATTTTATTGAACAAGTCTATGGTGTTATATATACTCATAATTCTGCATGTTTGTAACATTGTTTCAAATTCATGCAACAACCTTTAATAATAGGTCATATAACCTGTCAAAAATCTTTATAAGGAAACGAAACCATGCACCATACATACAAACTCTCTAGTTCTCATAAATATTTATATATAAAATGTGCATGTTTGATTTATTTACCCTCACCCCTAGAATGAACCAGGGCAAGCCTTTATTGACAACTGAACACATATACAAAATATATATACATATGTATAAATTTGCTAAATTTGTTTAAAAAAAAAACAATGAAAATTTTGTTTTCATTTTTTCAGCTCCAGAGGTGTTAAACTATGACACGTTGGGCTTGTACACAGACATGTGGTCCCTCGGTGTACTGACATATGTAATGTTGACAACTTGTTCACCTTTCGCAGCAGAAGATAAACAAATGACATTTTCTAACATAACCTCGGTGAACCTTGACTTCCCTGAAGATTTGTTTGGAGACATCAGTCAGGCTGCACAGGATTTCATACAAAAATTACTAATTGCCGATCCAAGGTGTGTTTTAATATTCATTGAGTGATATTATCAATTCTTCATATAAACTTTTGATGGGTTATATGACTGTGACTAAACTGTTGTTAACAAAATAGAGTGTACCTAGCAGCTCAGGTTATATAAGTTTAAAGACATTTTCTACAGTTTTATGAAAAAATAATCCTTTCATAGAATTTTCTAAATTTTTTGTATGATGAGTAAAATTTAATGACGAATTTAAAAAGAAAAAGAAAAATATATGTTGACGTGTTGGATTTCTTGTAAAATGGCAGTTTCCATTGTAACCATATATCTAAAAACTGTCAAAATAGCGTAACTGTGTTATAACGAATAGAAAATGTATAAGATAGCTTAAAACACACAATGAGCATTGTTTTATGCAAAGATAACCTTATCTAATGATTCTGTATGAAACAAATGATAATCTGAACATTTTTTTTTTTTTAAATGAGTTTTTCATGTTTCCTCAACCGAACAAAAAATGAGAAAAATTAAACATGAATTCTGAGAATAATTAGAGATATTGAAAAAAAGTGTTTCATAGGATTTTCTAATTTTTTTTGTATGTTGTGTAAAATTTAATGACAAATTCAAAAAGAAAAAGAAAAATATATGTTGGCGTGTTGGATTTTTTTTGAAAAATGGCAGTTTCCATGGTAACCGTATATCTCAAAATTGTCAAAATAGCCAAACTGTGTTATAATAATGTATAAAATAGCTTATTACACTCACAATAAACATAATTTTATACAAAGCTTGCTTTATCTTAGGGTTCTGTATAAAACAAATGATAATTGGAAATATTTCTTTAAAAAATGAGTTCTCATGCTTTTTAACTAAACAAAAAATGAGAAAAATTAACATGAATTCTGTAAAAAATTAAAGCTATCAAGAAATTTCTTTCATAGAATTTTCTACACTATTGATATATCAAGTAACATTTGATGGTGGATTCAAAATAGAAATAAAATATATAAGTTGACGTGTTAGTTTTTTGTAAACGGGCAGTTTCATGGTTACCGCATATGCCAACTGTCAAAATTACCACGCTTTCTTAGAGAAATATCAGTGTTATACTAAATGTATTGTCAAATATACAACAAAAACATGTCGTAATAAAAGTTTCTTTTTCTTTTGATGTTATATTAAGTAAACGATACTGAATATCTTTTTAAAACATATCTAGGGCCATATTATTTTTTTCACTCGACTAACATACTGTACCCGAACAGTAAGCAAGTATTCAGAAATTTACAAAGAAAATAATGAAATTCGGAACATTTCTTAGATATTAATTTTGTTTTTTTATTCAACACTTTTAAAATATATCATGCCCAGTTGTCTGCCAGTTATCAAGTCGCGATGCACTTTCGTCACTATACCACAAGTCGGTGGGGTGACGCGCGCAGAATTATCATCAATGCTGTCATACTAATGCTTGGAAAAATCCTTTAAGTGATGTTGTCTAAAGACCTCTTATTCTTTTGAAACCGATCTCCTTTTGAACATTTAGAATATCTATTCTGAATTATTTACTCATTATTTGCTTATAGCCGAAATTTAAATACTTATCCGAATACTATTCAACTTGACCTTCATTTGAAGAGTAATTATCCGTGATTATCTTTCTTGGAAGCGCATAACGATGCGCACAGAAAACTACCGAAAACGTCTTTAATACTGTTATATTGGGCCATATAATCTGTCAAAAATCTGAATTAACTATTAATATAGATTGTTCCTGTCTCATGCATGAAAAGGACACAAGAGCTACAAATAGATTTAAAAAAAATAAGATCTTCAGATTTTTGTCATGATTTTTAGCTCGACTATTCGCAGAATAACCGAGCTAATGCAGTCACCCATTTGTCGGCGTCGGCGTCCCTGTGGTTAAGTTTTTGTATGTAAGCTGGTATCTCCATAACTACTGAAGGGAATGGATTGAAACTTCACACACTTGTTCTCTGTGATTATCTAAGATGATTGGACAACCATAACTCTGATTTGCTTTTTTGCATAATTATGCCCCTTTTTCGACTTAAAAATTCTTGGTTAAGTTTTGTATGTAAGCTGGTATCTCCATAACTACTAAAGGGAATGGATTGAAACTTCACACACTTGTTCTCTGTGCTTATCTTAGATGATTGGCACAAGTCCCATAACTCTGATTTGCTTTTTTACACAATAATGCCCCTTTTTCGACTTAGAAATTCTTGGTTAAGTTTTTGTATGTAAGCTGGTATCTCCATAACTACCGAAGGGAATGGATTGAAACTTCACACACTTGTTCTCTGTGATTATCTAAGATGATTGGACAACCATAACTCTGATTTGCTTTTTTGCATAATTATGCCCCTTTTTCGACTTAAAAATTCTTGGTTAAGTTTTTGCGTGTAAGCTGGTATCTCCATAACTACTGAAGGGAATGGATTGAAACTTCACACACTTGCTCTCTCTGATTATCTAAGATGATTGGCACAAGTCCCATAACTCTGATTGCTTTTTTACATAATTATGCCCCTTTTTCGACTTAGAAATTCTTGGTTAAGTTTTTGTGTGTAAGCTGGTATCTCCATAACTACTGAAGGGAATGGATTGAAATTTCACACACTTGTTCTCTGTGATTATCTAAGATGATTGGCACAAGTCCCATAACTCTGATTTGCTTTTTTACATAATTATGCCCCTTTTTCGACTTAGAAATTCTTGGTTAAGTTTTTGTATGTAAGCTGGTATCTCCATAAGTACTGAAGGGAATGTATTGAAACTTCACACACTTGTTCTCTGTAATTATCTAAGATGATTGGCACAAGTCCCATAACTCTGATTTGCTTTTTTGCATAATTATGCCCCTTTTTCGACTTAAAAATTCTTGGTTAAGTTTTTGCGTGTAAGCTGGTATCTCCATAACTACTAAAGGGAATGGATTGAAACTTCACACACTTGTTCTCTGAGATTATCTAAGATGATTGGCACAAGTCCCATAACTCTGATTTGCTTTTTTACATAATTATGCCCCTTTTTCGACTTAGAAATTCTTGGTTAATTTTTTGCGTGTAAGCTGGTATCTCCATAACTACTGAAGGGAATGGATTGAAACTTCATACACTTGTTCTCTGTGATTATCTAAGATGATTGGCACAAGTCCCATTACTCTGATTTGCTTTTTTACGTAAAAATGCCCCTTTTTCGACTTGGAAATTCTTGGTTAAGTTTATGTGTGTAAGCTGGTATCTCCATAAGTACTGAAGGGAATGGATTGAAACTTCACACACTTGTTCTCTGTGATTATCTAAGATGATTGGCACAAGTCCCATAACTCTGGTTTGCTTTTTTGCATAATTATGCCCCTTTTTTGACTTAGATTTTGTTAAGTTTTTGCGTGTAAGCTGGTATCTCCATAACTACTGAAGGGAATGGATTGAAACTTCACACTCTTTTTGTCTGTGATTATCTAAGATGATTGGCACAAGTCCCATAACTCTGATTTACTTTTTCGCATAATTATGCCCCTTTTTGATTAATAAATTCTTGGTTAAGTTTTTGTGTGTAAGCTTGTATCTCCATAACTACTCAAGGGAATGTATTGAAACTTGAAGGGTTTGTACCTTTTTGGACAATTTTATGTATTCATAAAGGTAAGCATTATTATTATTATGAAACACCCTTGTGACAAATTTTCGAATAGTCGAGCGTTACTGTCCTCCGACAGTTCTTGTTTTACATGATGGTTCTGGAAAGAGTTATGGCCATTTCATGAAGTGCTATATCAATAATTTGTACACAAAATTTTAATTCATTTGCATTTTTTACAGCATAAATATTTTAATTGTGAAAAATGATCTAAAAAATGAAAAACGTAAAAACGCCTTTTATTTGAATCAGGCTAAGAATAGCACAAAAATATGATTTTCAGTTCAATTCTGAGTAGATTTCTTTATTATCTGTCAGTTATCCTACATATAAGTGCCCATTTTGATCTATATAAGAACTTCAAATTTTATGTTTTTAGGCTTTTAGACCTCTCTGGAATTTCCACAAGTCAGGAGTACAAGTAATAGATAAGGTTAATATTGCAGTATAGAAAATAAGCAAAACTAGGTATAATATTAATAATGCATTATTAATGATAAACAAGGAACAGGGAATGTTCAAAACTACAAGCCTGTTACCTTAATTCCTGCGAAGTGGCGGGAAGGCCAGTGGTTAACGTGTCGGACGTATCACTAGCCATGTGACTTTAAACCCTGTCAGGGGCTAGCCATTGTTTTCCTTGAAAAAGAAACATTTAACACTCATTGCCCAGTACTGTTTGGGATCAGGAATAGCTTCAAGAGTGTGTCTGTAGCTTCTTGCACAGTCAAACTAAAATAAATTCTATGTAAACTAAATTCTTCTCTTCTTTTAATTAGTTATACCAGTATAAAATCTTCTTTGTTTTCAGTGAAAGGATGACAGCAAAAGAATGTTTCAATCACGAATGGCTAGCAGGATATGTGGGCTCAAGTACAAAACCATTGACGATAGGTTACGATGAAACAGTAGACCACAAAACCGGTGAAAATATAGAAAGTATTGAACACCTAAATGACCCTGATAAAAGAATTAGTGATTCTAAAGAAGGCGAATTGGACAATGAAATTGAAAGTAAGGTAAAAGATCAGTTTAGGGGGAAAATTGAAAACCAAACGTCGGAAATGTCAGTAACAGACGATAAGGAGGATACAAAATTAGACAATGAGATTGAAAATAAGGTTACAGATTCTTTTAGGGGGAAAATTGAAAACCAGACATCTGAAATGTCATTTACTGAAGAAAGGGATGACGAAGGGATATTTGTTGATCCTGAATCTGATTTATCTTCTCATGAAACAAACATATCTGATAAACTTAGTGAGGATCCTTACCAAGAAGGAAATGTAACTCATAAACAGAATTTAAATGCTAATTACGTAGAACCTAGTAATGATGAAATCAGAAATATATGTACTGTAAATAATGTATCAAGTTGTGATGTGACACCAGATACTGATTCCAGTATGTGTTTAACAGAAAGTAGACAACAAGAAGTAGATTCTGGTATGGCTACCAACTCAGAACCTTTAGATATATCAGGTAGGACAAGTGTTGAACTTGAACCAGATACTGAATTGAATAGCGAACCAAACAATGACATTGAAATGTTAAATAAAAGCTGTATAGAAAATGATATAAAAGATGAAGTGGGTAATGTATCAGAAAGAACAGAAAATAATGATTCTAACAAAACTGGTCTATCATCGGATGGAAACAGGGAACAAAATATAGTTAATAGTGAAGATGCTGATACTGCAATGGATGTAGAAATGTTAGACACATGTGATATTAGGGAACCTTTACCAGTAAATGTAACAAATGATGCCAACAATCATACACCAGATAAACAGCATTCCAAGGGAGAAGAAAGTTGGTCAAATGTATCAGTTGAAGTTAACGCCCCCAAACAAGAAGCATTAACTAAAGATCCAGCAACATCCCAATCCAACCGTGACACAAAAGTACGTTCTTCTGTAAGCCATATAGATGATTCTATAAATAGCATGCAGTTAGGAGAAAGTCTGAAACGAGGCATGTGCAATGAATCCGAATCATCAGGGGCAAATAATCCAGATGCTAATAATGAGGAGTATGAATTTGTTAGTGTTTCGAAAAGAGTTCGCAGTTATGAGGATAGTATGACATCAAAAAGTCCCACGTACAGTCCTTCAATAGCCAAAAGTCCTAGAATAGGCAGACACTCGAGATTTCATCATCAACATCATTAATGAGGTCACACTTACTGTTAGTGTTTTAGGATTATTTTATTTTTAGGAATGACTCTCAAGGTTTAAAGCTGTATGTCTCCAAATGAACTAAAATATTTTGAGAGAATCAAACTTGAGAAAAATGTACTTAGGTTTTAAGACAAGTAAAAAGATTCAAGTAATAATTGTTATACATGTTATGTGTGATTAATGCCTGATTTTATAGTATCTATTACCATATTTCTACAATGATACTAACACAGTAAGGGCTATTTTTGCATATTTCTTACCTCTTTTTAGTAATTTACATTGATTGTAAGTGCCGTTTGCAATGTGTAAATTAATATCTTTGCTCACTTTACAATATTTTACTTTTAAATACATTTTTAAAATTTTTATGAAAATCAGCATGAATCTGGAGACACGCTGCTTTAAGCTTTAAATAGATTATTGGACATCAAGACTAGGTGGTGTATAATGTTAGTAATTAGTAATAATGTTAGTAATTAGTGATATACAAATGTATTTATAGCTAGTGTTCTTCTGCTCGCAAAATATACTATGAAGTTTTGATCAGCATTGCCGCATAATTAGTAAATTTTTGGATGAGAATCTACTGTGACAGTCACCACTTATATTAGAAACAATAACTATAATATAATGTTCCAACGTAAATAAAGAGTGGGGTTTTTTTTGTGGGGTGTTTTTATGTGGATTTTTTTTTTTTTTTTTGCTTTCATCCCTCAGTTACTAGTAAGGCTATGACCGCATGTTAATTATAATGCTTTTTACAGGGTAAATGCATTTTAAAATTAATTTTCTTTGAGACAAAATAAGTTTTTTGTATATTATATGAAACAAATATGGACTGTTTAGCAGGTGAATATGATGTGATATGTTCTGAAAAATGAAAAATATATTGCTTAAATCCTCTGAATATTGGATTGTCTCCCCTGATACATTTTCTTCATCATTCAAACTTGTGATACAGAGTAACAAAAATAGAGTAAACAAAAGGAGTATTCCACAGGATTAGTTGGAAATGTACTCCAGGAATACAGTAACTGCTCAATCATGTATATATTTTTCCATCATTTTCATGCATTTATAAAAGTGAAAAGTATGCATGTTTCTCGATCGATCAATATTTTATCAGTATATTACTGACAGTGTATTACTCTAGATATAAACTTTCTTCTTCTAACCTAAAACTCGTACATGTCGGTCTTGACACAAGAACGTGATAGGTATGAGCTGGACTAGGTATATAGATATCATTATTTTAGGAAAAATACCTGCAAAAGTACTAATAGATACGTTAGAATTTCTGATAGTTAAAGTGGCTATTCAAAACATATCATAGCTTGTCCTTGTGAAACAAGATATGGATTATATACTATAATACTAGATATACAGAGCCAACCATAAATACTTTTACACTTCTTGGAAAATTGGTTTATGGATGATATACAAATTTTTTCAATCCTTATCTTACATGGTCATTGCATTAGTTTAATATAACAGACTGAAAACTAAATAAAGAAATTTTTATTTGAAAAAAATTTAAAAATCATCATCAGTGCATTCACGCATTTGAATTTTCTATCTTTAACACATATTTTTGTGTATGATACCGTCTTGTAAATTTACCATAGGGCGTAAATTGCCCCGCCTCAGTTCAGCCTTTGTTGAAATGGTCACTCCAGTTGTGTGACCTCAACCCCTGTGAGAATTGTGATACACCACTAAATACAAGTTGAAACGATAGTGAAAGTGTAAAGTTGTAAACTTGTTGTATTTTCAATAAATTTTTCATCATCTTGTTTACAGTCATTTATACACCTAACTGATGCAATAAATATTTCTGAAATGGATGAATACTTTGTAATACAAACAAATTGTGTAATTCTACCAAATTGTGTGATCAACCAAATTGAATTTTTCACGAGGTGTTAAAGTATTTATTGATGGCACTGTATATCTGTTATCAAAATCAAGCTCAGACTAATCATTTAAAACTAATTAGTTTTTTAACCCTTTTCAATTTTATCATCATATTTAAACATATTGATGAAAACAATAAAGGTTTCACTGTTTTGATATACATGTTTGATTATGTAATAATTTTGTTCAAGGATCCAGTTATATACTAGAATTATGTGATTATGAGTTGGCCAGAGTTGTAAAGAAGTTTTTTTGGCCTTTTGATATTCAATATAAAACGCTTACCAGTACATATATATATATTATGTTTATCATGATTTTATGTTTATAGGTAAATTTATCAGCTTATATAGTAATGTCAATCATCACAAATGAGCCTCGCATGACAAAACCAACATAATGGGTTTGCGGCCAGCATGGATCCAGACCAGCCTGCCCATCCGAGCAGTCTGATCAGGATCCATGCTGTCCGCTATCAGTTTCTCTACTTGTAATAGGGTTTGTAAGCGAACAGCATGGATCCTGAATGCGCAGGCTGGTCTGGATCCATGCTGGTCGTAAACACACTATGCTGGTTTTGTCATTGCGTTGCTCAAATATAAATTGAATAGTTTAATTATGGATGATGATGTGTGTCCGATCTTTGTATATGTATTTCATACATTGTATATCATAAAAGATGATTTTATTTTTGTATAATATACATTAACCTGACTTACCTTAAAACAACATATCATAGGATTAAAACATATATTATGTAGATATCTTTTATTTAATTTACGAACTTTATTTACCTTACTTTAACAACTGTAAAACAAATCATTATTAATTATGCTTTATTTGTACATTATTTTTATTTTTCCCCTCGTAACAAATAAGATGGACCAATTTTACCACTTTTATTTTCTACTTTTCTATTATTATTCTAAGTTTGTGTAGCTCATTTTATGTTTTACATACAGTATATGAGAGGTAATAATGTCATTATGTTTTTACCTAATTTTACATGTTTGGTGTAATAATTTTGAATAGAATAGGATTTTTGTAGGAGTCATCAAGTATTACCAGTATTTTTGTGCAAGGAAAGATTGTTTTTTGAATACAGTTTCACTTGTAGACATTATTCAGTAGGGTCTTTATGAATTGTAATTTTATTCAAATTTTCCTGTCAGTGCTTCAAATGAATAAGAAATCGTAATGTATTGTATACTTTAAGATGGGAAAGTAATAATTATAGACTGGATCAACTTTTCATAAATATGACAACTAAAATTGGCCCAAACTGGATTTTCAGCTGATTTTTAATTCCCCTTGTAACAAATAAGATGGACCAATTTTACCACTTTTATTTTCTACTTTTCTATTATTATTCTAAGTTTGTGTAGCTCATTTTACATACAGTATATGAGAGGTAATAATGTCATTATGTTTTTACCTAATTTAACATGTTTGGTGATGTTTGTTACAAGAGAAAACTGTTTTCTCTTTAGTTTGACTTAAAGAGTAATAAAAAATAATTTATTTGTCAATCCATGTTCAAAGTTGACCAATCATGTTAATTTTATCCTTACCATTTTCAAATTTAACATTTTAAAGCAATTTATTAACTTCTTCATTGACAGTGAAATTATTAAAATATGATTTCAGTGTATCCAAACTATATTCAAATAGGAATGAAAAGAACATATCATAAATGAATGGAGATTTCATTGAAAATGCATACCCATCGTAAGGAAATATACATTGTTACAGGAAGTACATACTGCAAGTACCAAGTTAGAATGTAATATCATGTTAAAATGTTACAAAATTTAAGAAATATTACAGAATTATTTTTAAATGCAAACGTAGTGATATCATTTGATGATGTCACAAAATCCTGTTAAAAAAAAAACCTAACTAATGACTGCTAAATAGCATGAAATAAAAAGAAAGTTTTCTTGTTTTGCATGTAACATAGAATTATATTTCATGTGTGAACACGAGCTTTTATATTTTCATTTATGGCTATATATGCCACAGTCATCTGGTGTTCACTCTGTGAAATATATGTTGACCTTGTATACAAACAAAAATTATCTATATCCTAGATTATATTGATGGTCGTTTAAATTATTGAGGCTATACACTGGATGTATACAATATAGCTATGGTGATGTTTACTAGATAAATGATTATCGTTCATGAGTAGGGTAAATTACCGACATATGTTTATATATTTAGCTGTTGTAATTCATACATTTTATACACTGATAATTCCTGATAATTTCTGATATTTTCCTTTAAAGAGAGATAATTATATCTACCTTTTTATAGAGTTTACAATGTAAGCTTGTGTATATAAACTATTTTTGCTTTACTTCATGTGTTTTACATGTTTTAGAAATTATTTATATGTAGTAGTTGGTGCATCTGATACTCTGTTTTACATGATAATACTGTTATTTTATATAGTTTAAAATTGAAAAAGACCACATTCTTAAAAACTGTTGAATTTTTGTCACATTTTACCTGGAACTAGTACACTGTGTAGTCAGTGGGTACAAAATTTTTGTTTATCAGGTACAAGAGCACTTAAAATATTTAGAATAAAGGCATTTAAATGAGACTTGTAAAAAATGTTTTTGAACTTGTTAACTTTATTTGATAATTCTGATTACTGTGGCAACCAGATGGAAACACATAAGTCTTACTAATATAGTCTTCTTTCCTTAGACATTTCATTAAATTATATAATAAGTTCACAATAAGTATATACAGTCAAATCTGTGTTAAAGGCCACCTGCAAATAAAAACCATTATGTAAATAAAGACCACTTTTCAACAACATTTCATGAATCCAATAGATCAGGGTTACCTCTAAATAAAGACCACTTGTCAACAGATCAACCTTGTTTGATCTGTACTTTTGGTGGCCTTTCTCCACAGAGGTGACTGTATATGTTATTAATTCATACATGAAAATTTTTTGAGTATCTCAAACCTTAACAACATTATAAACTACAACTTTCATAACATTCATATTCATTTTCTACAGAAATTATCAAAATTTATTGTAATTGTTAGAATCCATTTACACATGTTTGGCAGGAATGTTTAAATCATTCCTTTATTTTTATCCATATTGTACACGATATAAATGAGAGAGATTTAGAGAGATTTATCATGAATTTCAGAATGTATACTTACTTGATGTAAATGTTTTGCTTTTTTTACCCCAAACCTTTGCTTGTACAAAATGCATTCCATTGAAAGGGACTAAATACTTCTGATAAGTATTCAATAAATGACCATTTCAGACTTTCATATAAAACATAACGTAAATGTAAAAAAATAATAGAATTATATATATTTGAAGTGTGTACATTTATGTAACAGTGTAAAAACAAATTATACTTTGATCTTCACTTCTAGGGATTTACACAGTTATTCTGATAGTGGCCAGCCACTAGAGCCAGCCTGCTTATGCATGAAGTGTGTCCAGGCTTTATACTGTTGGCTGACCAACTTAAAATTTTCTACTTGATATCCCTAAAAATGATAATGGACTGTTCCAAGTTCATTTAAGAAATACAGAACTTGAGAAGGTTATGAATTAATAAATTGATTTTAGAAAATATTGAAAATATACATTAATTAATGTAGAAGATAATAGTATAGTAAACTGTTTAAACTATTTGACCTAAGAAATTAGCCAGATGTTATGTAATGATAAATGTTTTAACTTTGTATAATTATAAGTAATGGTTTAGAAATGACAGAGAAAATATGCATATTTCTGTTAGATATGTATTAGTGCTTATATTTGCAATATATATTACACTCACACAATTGTAAAAATATGTTGATACTGTAGTAGTTACTGTAAAACTGTTGCTTTGAAAGCTTTTGTAAGGATTGAATGATTTGCTTATTTATGTCTTCCTTTATTGCTTTATGCTTTACTAAATACATTTATACATTACTATTGTAGTTTTATAGAAAAATCTTGAAGAACTGATACTGTTTTGTTAGAATATAATTATTTAACATCATGTTGTCGATTTTCTTTTCTTTTTCTCCCAAGTTATAAATGTTTTACATGGAAATGCTGTTCAGTGGCTGAGTGGTCAACAACTTTAACTTTTGGGTTGTCCCTGACGGAGTGGTTAAGATTGTTGACTTAGAATCACTTGCTTCACACTGCTGTAGGTTCAAATCCCAACAGAGACTTTGATTCTTTCATGTGAGGAAGCTATATTGCTAGCTTATGGAACGTCAGTGGTTCTACTCAGGTGTCTGAAATAATGCACAAAGGGGCGCCTGAGGTCTTCCTCTTCCAGTAAAGCTTGAAAGCTGCCATATTTAAAAAAAGAACAAAAAAATAAAACCTGTCTCTCAAGCATTGTCACTTGCCATAGAGAAGTAATTCCTTAATGAGAAATGATATGTTGCTATAGTAATGTTAAGATAAGTCAGTGGTACATCCATGGCTTGAAATATGTTGCATGGGATCCTTGTTGTCCCCTACTTTTTCAAAGAAAAGGGGATATAGGCTCTTCTCTCTGTCAGTCCAAGATAACATTTGGATAGTAATGTGGCTACAGATTTACAGTACAGAAACAAGAGGTAACTGTACCTTTTCCTTGATGTCATTCATTCTGTAAGCCTTTATGTAACTATTTACCTTTATGTGGCTATTAACTCAGGCACAAATGTTCAATACAATGAATGAGTTGAACCTATACTTAATTGACAACAGTGAATAAAGTATTTAAAGTTAATCAAAACCATGAAACCAGAACATGCCAAGTTCACGGTGAGAACTATTATAGAAATTTTCAGTTTCATTTTCTTTACACAACAAATTTACAAAAGTACCTCAAAATAGATGGAAATTTATGTAATTTTTTAGTGTTTGTTTAAAATCTTCACCTCCTTTGGTGATACACACCATGATGCGGGGATCTTTCTGCAACATTCATAGCCGTTTTATATTGCTAAAGTTGGCATAAAACAATGTCAATTAAAACAGGACTGAAAAACAAGGATTGGATTGAAATTGACATAATTGAAGGGTAAAAGTAGAAAAATTTAATACTTGAGCTATTTTCACAATATTCTGGGCTTTGAGCCTGTTATTATCAGAGCCTGGCGTTATCATCAACCCCTGATGATCTGGATATATAGTACTAAAAGTACTAGTACTAAATGAAAATATTAGTTTTCATAATTGCTTTTGGAAATGTGAAATTGTAAATTACAATGTAATCCAAAGGCACCATGCTGTGTTTATAAATATCATAAAATATGTTTTATACCTGGAAGCTTTTTACCTCTTCCCAAATTATACACACAGTTAAAGAAGATCCCAATTTGATTAAATTTACGTTGAAATGTTGGCACATTGAAAAATTACCCATATACAGTAAATTTCAACGGGTCAAAATTTAAAGTGGATTGGGCACATTTTCCATAAGTAATTCAAATATTGATAAAATAAGTTGTATCATTTGGATATAAATATAAATATTCCTTGCGAAAATATCATTTGGATATAAATATAAATATTCCTTGCGAAAAATATGTTGATAGAATTTTTAGTGATTTATACTGAACATTTTTATGGTTATTATATTTTGTTCTTAAACAAATATTTACTGCACTGTACAGTATATTTAAGCAATAATTATCTTATATTCACCAACAATTTTCATATATAATCATTTTGTGGATTGTTGTCACATATGATTCTAAATACTATTAACATAATTATTTTTGGTATTACATAGACCACCAATTCACTTTAATGCTAGCCATCCGGGATGAATACGTAAAGGTTTTAGTCTTGACCTCTAAAGATGGCTTCCACTGCACCAAAATCATCGGAACCGAATTCCATTAAAGAAGTATTCAAAACACTAAGTTACGGACCAGCACCAGAAGCAGATAATGTTGCACAGGTATTTATCATAATTTACTGGTTGTCACGACTGGAAACAAAGTAAGCAAATGGTAATTAGCATCGCCCTGGATTGATGATTCGTCCTACTCACGATTCGCTCCATAAATGTTTGCCCATTTTAAAGATGTTTTGCAAATGATAATTTAAAGTGGGAATAATTCAATGGTTTTGCACATCAAAGAATACAGTATGTTCTTGTTTATGAAATTGTGATATTTTAGAGTTTTTTAAAATTGTCAAACAAGTTGAAAACAAATTTACAGCTGATTTATGTCCAAGACATGCACTCAGTGTTGTAGCCTGGAACCCCGTTGTATCGATCTATTAACCCATAAATCACAACTGCAGTTAAAAACATTAAATTTCCATGAATCTTTATTTTGTATCATTTATTTTGATTCTTTAGACATAAATATTACATGGCAAACATCACTGATTTATAGTTTTTAGCTTTGGAATATACGATTATTTACAGATATGTCAAACAGGTTGAAGAATTAGGTCACGCCATTTTATCGATGCATTGTGAGAATCGCTCATTAAGTCAAAGTTTTGGAAGTCTGACCCATCTTTATGCTACATTTTTCAGTCAATTAGAATAAAAGATGTCTGTTTTAAAATGTCAGCATAAATTTAGGAACTTTCAACAGACAGTAAATGTGTTTTTAATAAGAACACACTATTTATAAATCCATTTATTATCTACAAAGTCTGACGGTACTGGAAACCTGTTTTTTGACCATTTTTACGGCACAAAACAAATGCGAAAGATTTTCGTGACACTTTTGTAAATGTTAGCAATCAGTAGCTACTGCATTTTGCAAAAAAATCGAAAGATTTGTAAATATATCGATACAATGAATAGCACGATACAATGGGGTTCCACTATAATAATATTCTAGAATAATTTGATGTTACTAAGGGTTTGCAAAATAAATTTTGCCATGTTGTATACAAGTTTGGATCAAGGAGGGGTGCGACTTTCATAACCCTAAGAGTCTGTATTCCTATACACAAAATATGGCTATATCCTGGAATAGACCCCAGGCCAGACATCTAAACCAGAAGTAAATATAAGGGTTTCTTTAGTTCATCATATAAGGGGTGTCACGTTTATCCGTTTAAATAGGTATGGTCGGTTTTTAGCTAAAAACTGGTTTATAGGAAGCTCAACAACCGATAACTGAGGTAAGTATTAGACAAAGTGACAATTTTTAAAAAGTAATTCTATGTCGCTTAAACAAATATGTTTAAAAACCAACCCTTGCTGCAGCTGTATACAATGTCAGAACAACATCGTACAGCATAATGTCAGACCCACATCATGCAGCATAATGTCAGACCCACATCATACAGCATAATGTCAGAACCACATCATACAGCATAATGTCAGACCCACATCATACAGCATAATGTCAGAACCACATCATACAGCATAATGTCAGAACCACATCATACAGCATAATGTCAGAACCACATCATACAGCATAATGTCACAAAGCGGCAGAAAAAAAATATCACAATTTCAAAAGAGATTTCACAAAATATTGGGACTTTGTCCTCGAAATACTTTGTTTACCTTCCAGTAAAACTTGATTTACGCCAATTGCAATAACACAGAAATAGTTTTAATCAAGTTAAATGGTTTTTGGGCATGTTGACCAGGTTAATGTACTGACTTGAAGCAGATTTAAGACAGGTCAGAAATAATAATCAACCATTTCCAGTTTCAAAATGTTGCAAAATGCCAAGTAATATGTCATTTTTTTTTTCACAATTTTATGACATATCGCGCTTTTTTCACAAAATGAACAGGTCCAGGCCCCTTCACAATGTTGACAAAAAATGCCCTGGACTCACATTATGTAGCACAATGTCAGACCTACATCATAAAGCACAATATCAGACCCACATCATGTAGCACAATGTCAGACCTACATCATAAAGCACAATATCAGACCCACATCATGTAGCACAATGTCAGACCCACATCATGTAGCACAATGTCAGACCCACATCATGTAGCACAATATCAGACCCACATCATGTAGCACAATGTCAGACCCACATCATGTAGCACAATGTCAGACCCACATCATGTAGCACAATGTCAGACCCACATTCATATAGCACAACGCAGACCCACATCATGTAGCACAATGTCAGACCCACATCATGTAGCACAATGTCAGACCCACATCATATAGCACAACGCAGACCCACATCATGTAGCACAATGTCAGACCCACATCATGTAGCACAATGTCAGACCCACATCATGTAGCACAATGTCAGACCAATATCATGTAGCACAATGTCAGACCCACATCATGTAGCACAATGTCAGACCCACATCATAAAGCACAATGTCAGACCCACATCATGTAGCACAATATCAGACCCACATCATGTAGCACAATGTCAGACCCACATCATATAGCACAACGCAGACCCACATCATGTAGCACAATGTCAGACCCACATCATGTAGCACAATGTCAGACCCACATCATGTAGCACAATGTCAGACCAATATCATGTTAGCACAATGTCAGACCCACATCATGTAGCACAATGTCAGACCCACATCATGTAGCACAATGTCAGACCAATATCATGTAGCACAATGTCAGACCCACATCATGTAGCACAATGTCAGACCCACATATGTAGCACAATGTCAGACCCACATCATGTAGCACAATGTCAGACCCACATCATGTAGCACAATATCAGACCCACATCATGTAGCACAATGTCAGACCCACATATGTAGCACAATGTCAGACCCACATCATAAAGCACAATGTCAGACCCACACATGTAGCACATAACGATTCACAACAACAGATCATGTCATTGAGCAAATAATCAGACATATATATTTTACTTAATGGTTTTGTATGATTGAATTATGAACATAAAACTGGCTGGCTCACTCAAATGATATGTTTACATGTAAAATGTTACCATTCTAAAATTGTAACAGGTAAACGATGATAACCAAAGGCATATTATGATCAAATGTTATTTGCAAATAAAAGTTTATTGACTTTCTGATAAGGGTGTCAGCTCCTTAAGAAATCGTAAACTAGTTGGCCAGTGTAATAGTAGTACTGTTGATAAGTACGTTTGATATTTGAAATATCAGAGGTGAAAGATTGTTTACATATGACATTTTGTTCCTAAATGATACATTTGGAAAACTGTTACATAAATTGTAAGTCTGCTGTAGCAATGTGTATTTCTGTAATAGGTTTATACATTGTTTAATAAATATGAAGAATTTTACTAGTTAATCTTTTTTTTCTGTCTTGTGTTTACAGCTATTATCAGTAAAAGATTATTTTACTCAAGTTTGACATTGGAAAACACTGATAATTGTTATACAGTCTGTTTTTAAATGCAATAGAAACATTTTTAAATGAAAATAATTTGTTATGTTTTGAACTCTACACACTACAGGTAAACACAGAATAAATACAAAGGGTCATTAAAAACCTTGCATTTTTTTAGCTCACCTGAGCTTGCTCAGGGTGAGCTTTTAGGATCGGTGAATGTCCGTCGTCCGTCCGTAGTATGTCCACAATTGCTTGTGAACACTCTAGCGGTCGCATTTTTGCCTCAATCATCATCAAACTTGGTCAGGATGCTTGTTTAGATAATACCTCAGATGAGTTCGAACTTTATCAAACTTGGTCAGATTGCTTGTCTAGTCAATTGCTTGGATGAGTTCGAACATGGGTCATCTCTGATGAAAAACTAGGTCACAGGAGCTAAAAATAGAAAAACCTTGTGAACACTCTAGTGGTCACATTTTTTACCCAATCATCATCAAACTTTGTCAGGATGCTTGTTTAGATAATAGCTCGGATGAGTTCGAATATGGGTCATCTCGGATGAAAAACTAGGTCACCGGAGCTATAAATAGAAAAACCTTGTTAACACTCTAGCGGTCACATTTTTGCATCAATCATCATCAAACTTGGTCAGGATGCTTATCTTGTTGATAGCTTGGATGAGTTCGAACATGGGTCATCTCGGATGAAAAAGTAGGTCACAGGAGCTAAAAATAGAAAAACCTTGTTAACACTTTAGCGGTCACATTTTTGCATCAGTCATCATCAAACTTGGTCAAGATGTTTGTCTAGGTGATAGCTCAGATGAGTTTGAACATGGGTCATCTCGGATGAAAAAGTAGGTCACCGGAGCTAAAAATAGAAAAACCTTGTTAACACTCTAGCGGTCACATTTTTGCATCAATCATCATCAAACTTGATCAAGATGCTTGTCTAGGTGATAGCTCAGATGAGTTCAAACATGGGTCATCTCGGATGAAAAAGTAGGTCACCGAGCTAAAAATAGAAAAACCTTGTTAACACTCTAGTGGTCACAATTTTGACTCAATTGTCATCAAACTTGGTCAGGAAACTTGTCTAGGTCATTGCTGGGAATTAATCGAACATGGGACATCTCGGATGAAAAACTAGGTCACAGGAGCTAAAAATAGAAAAATCTTGTTAACACTCTAGTGGCTACTGTTGTGATCCAAATATTCTGTTAATTGGTCTGAAAGTTTGTTTTGATGATTTCTAAGTCAAGATCGAACATGGGTCATCTTGGATGAAAAACTAGGTCACACCGCCCAAATATGGAAAAATCTTGTTAACATTCTAGTGGTCACATTTTCGACTCAATTATCATCAAACTTGGTGGGGCGTCCGTGGCCGAGTGGTTAAGGTCGTTGACTTCAAACCACTTGCCCCTCACCGCTGTGGGTTCGAATCCCGACAGGGACTTTGGATTCTTTCATGTGAGGAAGCTATCCAGCTAGCTTACGGAACGTCGGTGGTTCTACTCAGGTGCCCGTTCGTGCCTGAAATAATGCACGGAAGGGCACCTGAGGTCTTCCTCCACCAGTAAAGCTGGAACGTCGCGATATGACCTATACTGTGTTGATGTGACGTAAAACCCAAAACAAAACAAACAAATCAAACTTGGTCAGGATGCTTGTCTAGGTAATTGCTTGGATGAGTTCGAAATCGCATGTGAAACTAGGTCACCGGAGCTAAAAATAGAAAAATCTTGTTAACACTCTAGTTGCTACTGTTTTGATCCAAGTATCCTGGAAATTGGTCTGAAAGTTTGTTTTGATGATTTCTAGGTCAAGTTTGAATATGTGTCACCTGGGTAAAAAACTAGGTCGCACTACTCAAATATGGATAATCCTTGTTAACACTGTAGTGGTCACATTTTTGACTCACCTGTCATGAGACACAGGTATTACTGTAGACATACCTTGATTTCAAAACATTTCTGTAATAAAAGAATTTTACCCAAAGATGAGCATAATATATCTTCAAAGTGATGCAATTTCTTTGAAAATTTTCTAAGCTTACATTTTGATTGTCTACTGTTTCTTAGTTTAATTTGTAAGTTTATTTATTTATGGACATATTTAAAGATAGTTGATTTACAAGGCATTAATTCAGTGTCAGGTACCTTAATTTGCATTTCATCTCGTTGGATATTTTAATTAATTTCTTTTGACAAATAGGAAAACCAGTTAAATTGTTGGCTTTATAGTATTATTGTGATATAAGTTGATAAAAGTTATCTCAATGTAAAGTATTAAATGCAAGTAAATGAAATTTTTGCAAACAATATGTTTGCCAATTTTATATTGTATACTTGTCACAAATTTTATCAGACCATATCAGAATTTTTTCAAAGGTATAACTCTCTGACTATCAGTTTAAAAGACCACAAATTGTTGAACTTAACATCAGCTTTAATATTAGGCTTCTTCATACTTTTCTATCCTAATGTAATACATTTCTTTTGGGTTAAAAGCACAGACTTTACTCATTGCATTGCGATGCTTGGATAAGTTAATATTGTTGTTTGTTTCTGTTCATAGACTGAGCAATTTAAGATACATGTACTATAGCTAACAAAGTTTACAGCTCCTTCATTATTCATAATATGAATCTATATGAAATGGGTGTGTTTTATTTATATTTAAGGCGTGGCTAGATGATCATGAGAGGAGTTTTGGACATTTTATTGATGGAAAATGGGTAAAACCAGAAGGCAGGAAAACATATCAAACAAAAAACCCAGCTACTGGTATGTTCATAAATTTTTAATTTATTTTTAGTTGAAGTTAAGTTTTTACTCTGTAATAACTCTTGTTTTGGGTTATGACAAAGCTGCGTCCATCTTTTGACTTGGATTATTCTAAGACCAGCTATATTTTACTGTTCCCCCCTCCCAATCTTTTAATCTATTGTATAAAATGTTGACAAAACAAAGTTTATTTCTGATAATTACAATTTTAATAAGTTTGCCTTTGATAATAACAACACAATTCATTGAATGTTGATGAGAAATACATAATAATATGTCTGCATTTAACCATAAATTCAGTGTTGTAGAAGATGGAATTTGGTATGATGAAATTTGTTTATTTTATGTTTATTTCAGGTCAGACTTTAGCTTCCACTTTACAGGGCACTAAAGAGGATGTAGATCTGGCCGTGAAGTCATCGAGGAAAGCTTATGAGTCGTGGAGTAAAACACCACCTCATGTCCGAGCTCGATACATGTACAGGTAGCTGTTATAGATTATTATGGAGAATGAATAGTGTTATAAAATATTTTTTTGTCACTAATGCATACTATATTGTATATTTTATGTGCTCTTAATTTGAGTCAGGTCAATGAATCTGATTTATGTAATGTGTATGCACATTTCATATCATGGTCAACTTTAACAAATAAAGATGAAACAAAACTTGACTTTAGCATAAGAACAAATGTTAACTTTAGCATAAGAACAAAAACTGACTTTAGCATAAGAATAAAAGCTGACTAGCATAAGAACAAAAGCTGACTTTAACATAAGAACAAATGCTGACTTTAGCATAAGAACAAAAACTGACTTTAGCATAAGAATAAAAGCTGACTTTAACATAAGGACAAAAGCCTGACTTTAGCATAAGAACAAATGCTGACTTTAACATAAGAACGAAAGTTGACTTTAGCATAAGAATGGAAAAGACTAGCATAAGAACAAAAGCAGACTTAACATAAAAACGAAAGCTGACTTTAGCATAAGAATGAAAGTAGACTTTAGCATGAGAACAATAGCAGACTTTAGCATGAGTGGATTTAATGAATTTCAGTGTGGCTAGACATATTCAGAAGCATCAGCGTCTGATAACGGTTGTTGAATCTATGGACAATGGTAAACCTTTCCGTGAAAGCCGTGATGCTGATATTCCAACTGTAGTGCGACACTGGTACCACCATGCTGGATGGGCACAACTAATGGAATCTGAGATGAGGGGTTGGCAATCTATTGGTATGGAATGACTGGTCTAAAAAAATTTATAATTGTTTTGTTCCAATGTAACAGCACAAGAAAGTGACATTATTATCCCAATTTTTGTAATGCACTGGCTTTCTGTCCCAGGCAGATCAAAATATTGAATGTAGTGCATGTTAATTTTGCTATACTGTATATGTAATGGTGGCACTCAGTGTCAATTACTTTGACATGACATTCTTCTTCCATTGGAAAATCTGTCCTGCTAGCTTATGGTCTAGTTATGGAAAGTCTGTTGTTCTACTCAACATGGACATCTTTGCTTTTACTTATTATGCCTATTTTTACTTCTTTAGAAAGGTCAATTTTGAATTTTATTATGTGTAAATAATAGTTTTAGAGAATGTTAGATGCTTGTAACCTGAAAATAGCGATGTGAAATAATTTGTAATAAAAGTAGCAAAATGTAAGCAAAGTAGTATTCTAACTTCCATACAAAATACTAATTCACTATAACTGTACTTATTGCTAAAGAGCAACATTCAGGTATTTCGCCATTGTGTAACTTTGTATGTATTGTTACAAAAGTTGTCTGCTAAACATAAATTGAATACTTACTTTTTTTATATCAAGGTGTTATTGGAGCCATTGTACCGTGGAATTTCCCACTTATGTTGCTTACATGGAAGGTGTGCCCTGCATTGGCCATGGGCAATACAATAACTCTGAAACCAGCAACCTACACGCGACTCTCTGCCTTGCTACTGGCTGAGATCTGTTCGGAGGCTGGCCTGCCACCTGGTGTGTTTAACGTGATCACAGGAAGTGGACAGATGGGCAGTATGCTGGCTTCTCATGATGACGTGGACAAAGTGGCTTTCACAGGCTCAACCGGGGTATTGTTTGTTATTTATTTCTCTATAAATTCAGTATAACAGTTGTAACTATTGATGTACATTTATAATACTGATCAATCCAGATCAGTCCGGATAGGGGAAAGTTTGTTTATGGACAAAAATCAAGCCAGATATTTATCGTACTTTAATATAATTACTGAATAGATGCTTTTAACATAGTATGTATTACTTCCTTTGGTCGCCATTTTGAGTTCATTTGAACTCGGTGCAAATTTATTCGAGTATTATCACGTAGGATATAGGCCTAAAGGCTTATGTCAGTGCTTTCATTGTGTTTGATCATGAAATCCTTACGGTCATTCACACTGTACCTCTGCTCTGTCATGTACAGAAGTAATTGACAGTGCCTTTCGAAAGCAAAGGCATCCAGTATCGGTTAACTGCTTGACAGCTTGCCTAGGATCTGTGTGATGGCTGAACTGTGCTCTAGTATAGTACTATTCAATATGGCTTTTTGCTGGGGAGGGTAAACTACAAACACCCACTTATCAATACTGTTTGACCAGACTCTATACTGATAACAACTCAGAAGTTTTATTTTCATACTTCTAGTGTGTTATTACCATTTCAATGCAAGACCAATCTATCATATTAGTTTTGCATGGTAAGGGCAATTCATTTCTACTTTCTTTGGCTTTATTTTAAAGAATAATCTGATGAAAATGATATTGATGTTTTCATTTGCTATGTTAGGTGGGTCAGACATTGAGGAGATTGATAGCAGGCACTGGTAAGAAGTTGTCACTAGAACTTGGTGGTAAATCAGCTGTTATAGTATTTGACTCGGCTGATCTAGACAGTACAGTGGAAGGTCTGGTTGATGCGATCTGGTTTAATCAGGGACAGGTATTACTTATCTTTAGTTCAAACTTTAATTATAATACATTATATTAATACACACATAACACCAGATTGATATGCCAGACCTATTATGGCACAACACCAAGCAGAACAGTTGTCAAAGCATATCTCTAATAACAGAGGACAAACTATATATGTGAATGTTGAGCCAGTCACAATGTGTAGTGCAGTTTGTGACAGTATATAAAGCTGTACTGAAACCATCATTGTAATGTTGGATTTGTAGTGGCTAAACTTTCACGACTGTTCTGCAAGTTGCCGTGCCGTAATTGGTCTGGCATATTGATTTTATGTGTGTATTAATTCTCTCATTTCTATAATAATTTACACTTGTATCTTAATCTGATTCCACACAACTGTATTAAATTTAATTATCTCCCTTTATATATTTATTGTACTTGTAGTTCTTTAGCCAGTTTTGTCTCCAATGCTTTTACTCCCCCAAACATCTGTCTGCACTGCCTAAAGTAAATTCATGTAGGTGGCCACCTAACTGTCAAGAGAACAAAATATTTTTAGATGTTAGTAAAATGTAAAAAGCCACATTTATATTCGTCTTCCAAGAAGTAGTTTTTTGCTAAACCAGATGATTTTAATTTTTGAAATTTTTTATTTTGTGATCTCCTGATACTTGTGCCGGTATAAAGAATAATTTGAATTGATAAAAGGTAATCATTTATAAGATTTAACTTAATTTGTACACTGTTCTAGGTATGCAGTGCCGGGTCAAGGCTTCTAGTACAGGAGTCAGTGTATGGTAGACTGGTAGGAAAACTGAAAACTAGACTGACCCACTTTAGAGTAGGAGACAGTCTTGATAAAACAGTTGATATGGGTGCCATAGTGGATGACTCACAGAAGAAATCAATAGATGAATATGTAGAAGATGCTCGTAGAGAAGGGGCAGAGGTAGTGCATATGTTTTATCTTCATATTTCTCTAAGTAATTCATGAACTGAGTTGTGTTTAAGTTGTCTACCTGTCTGTCTGAAGACACTTTTATGTACAGTAGAACTTGCCAAAAAATGATTAGACTTCAGGTCTTTGACTCATATATCTTTTGTGATTATCACGCAACACCAGGTCTTAATAAGATCAAATTCATTTCAGGTTTACCAAGCATCAGCATGTATTCCAGTCAGAGGATGTTTTTATCCACCAACGCTAATAACAAATGTTCAGACTGTTTCTAGAGTTGTAGCAGAAGAGGTAAACATCTAGACTGGTGTACAATTTTACTCTTGCTACTGTATAAACAAACATAAAGCATGCCTCATGTCTTTTAATATGTCATTTCTTTTTTAGCACACATGAACATACCAAGTATTCTGAGAATTCATTTTATGTTAATCTATTGTTGGTTTAGTGATAGAAAATGAAAAAATAAATTATGAACCTATTTCATTTTTGCATTACATATGTTTCATATTAAGAATAATACAAATTAAAGAACATTATACCCGATTTCTGGTGTTTTAGCTATTGTTAGAATTGTCTTCAAACATTTTCATAGAATCATTTCCATGTAAAGAAGATTGCAAATTGATTTTTTTTGCAGATATTTGGTCCAGTATTGGTAGTATTACCATTTAGAACAGCAAAAGAAGCTATCACACTAGCAAACAACTCTATGTATGGTCTGGGTGGTAGTGTGTGGACAGAAAATATCTCACTTGCCATGGAAGTGGCTATCAGTATTAAAGTAAGCTATTGTAGCTATACTGTATTATTTTATAATTAAAAACATCACAAGTCCCCCTGCTTGGCTTAATAGGGAGAACATCGTATAAGTACTCCAGGGGTGGCTGGTTCGATCCTTGAATGTAATTTCAATGTGATATTTTATTTCAGACATGAGTCTAATGGTCATTTGTCTCTCTATGACCTTGACCTTTGACCCAGTAACATCAAAATCAATATGTGTCATCTACTAATCATGACTAACCTCCATGCCAAATATGAAGACTGTGGGTCAAAGGAATCTAAAGTTATTGGGCGGACAAGCTTTTTTAAATCAAGGCCCCTGTGACCTTGACCTTAGACCCAGTGACCTCAAAATCAATAGGGGGTCATCTACGAATCTTGACTAACCTCCATGCCAAATATAAAGACTGTGGGTCAAAGAAATCTCAAGTTATTGGGCGGACAAGCTTTTTTTAATCAAGGTCCCTGTAACCTTGACCTTTGACCCAGTGACCTCAAAATCAATAGGGGTCATCTACTAATCATGACTAACCTCCATGCCAAATATAAAGACTTTTTCAGATTTAAAAAAGGTCACTTGGGTAGAAATTGATATTACTGGGTAGTTATCCAGGAAAGTCAGTTAGGTGGATCTACCACCAAGATATGACCAAATATATGATGAAATCACTGTAAAAAAATACCAAAACAAAAACAGAAAAACAAAGAAATATGAGTCACTGTAGTGGTGATCAACTGATGCAAATAGAGGGATGAAAAGACCACAATATACCATATAAGTGGTTCTACGGGCTCCAAATTCTGCGATTTTTCCAAATTTTGGCATGTTTTTATTTCTGCGGACTTTATTTCTGCAGCACATTCTTTGGACAAAACATGATTTAAATTCTTCGGCTCATCTTATCAAAGTCTTAGTCACATTTCTCTACCTATTTTTATACTCCCGCACAACGAAGTTGAATCAGCTTGTCCGTCCGGACGTCTCCCCGTCCGGCCGTCCGGCAGTTTTTCGTTGTCCGCCCAATAACTTGAGATTCCTTTGGCCCACAGTCCTCATATTTGGCATGGAGGGCAGTCATGATAAGTAGATGACCCCTATTGATTTTGAGGTCACTGGGTCAAAGGTCAAGGTCACAGGGGCCTTGACTTTTAAAAGCTTGTCTGCCCAATAACTTGAGATTCTTTTGACACACAGTCTTCATATTTTGCATGGAGGTAAGTCATGATGATTAAATGACCCCTATTGATTTTGAGGTCAAAGGTCATGGTCACAGGGTCCTTGACTAGAAAAACTTGTCTGCCCAATAACTTGCGATTTCTTTGACCCACAGTCTTCATATTTGGCATGGAGGTTAGTCATGATTAGTAGATGACCCCTTTTGACTTTGAGGTCACTGGGTCAAAGGTTAAAAGTCACAGGGCCTTGATTAAAAAAACATATCCGCCCAAAAACTTGAGATTCCTTTGACCCACAGTTTTCATATTTTGCATGGAGGTAATTCATGATTAGTAGATGACCCCTATTGATTTTGAGGTCACTGGGTCAAAGGGATTTTTACTATAATAAGCTTGTCTACTCAAATGCTTAAGAATACCTGTCCGCAGTGACATTTTCACATTTGAAGCATGGAGAATACATAACTTAGCAATGCACTGGCTTAGTAACCTCAAATTTGGCAGGGAGGTTGTCCTTGAGCTCTAAATGGCCACTGTTGATTCTGACAAAGTGGTATGCGGGGGTATTCACGCCACAATAGTGGCAGTTCTAGTATTTGCATGTACACATTCGCATTAAAATTGTGTTTATCGTTGTCATAGCAAAACTACATAGTAATTACAAACAATTATATTGTTTGCTTGCAAACAAATATAATGCGCAACAATAGGCAGTATGCATCTTTTGATTAGTGTGAAATGACGTGTGAAAAATATTCCCTGGTAGTATTTTTAATTTAATAAAATTGAGTTTTGTCCTAAATCAGACAACAATTAATGTATACGACGATTATTTAGCAGTATAAGGGTTAAAATGGTTTTAATGATTTAGTGGTAAACAAACCTTTTAGCGTACAGGCAAACACTATGATGTTTAAATATCTTTATTCATAAATTGGCATAATCTACAATATGTACATCCTTACAGGCACATATTACAAACTTAGAGGAAAGCAATTTTATATAACTCGATGACCTGCTAACCGTTATAATCCGTTAGTTGTTATTATTTAAGAGGCAACAGGTCATAATGTAGGACACATATCGTTAAAAACATGGAGAAATATTCTGCGGTTTTTATTTCTGCGGTGCTGAAACTGACCGCAGAAAACACAGAAATAAAGTCACCGCAGAAAAAACCACTTAGTATAGGTTAGAGTGCATATTGGGTGTTCTTCGTAAATAAGAAAGCTAAAAAGGAGTGGAGCTTGCGAAGCGACTGTAGCTTTCTTATTTACGAAGAACATCCAATATGCACTCTAACCGGCTTAGTGCTCCGCCCATTTTTTTCCGCCCAGCACACTGCGTGACGTCACACGATAGCCTAAATGTGTATAACCATATTTGGAAGAGGTAGCGGTACACATTTTCGGGTCACGTGTTTTGCATAGCTTATTCCCGCATTCTGTCTAGGTAAATCAGACAATATCACGGTGTATTATCCATATCGGTACCCTCTTTGCACGGTACCCTCTTTGAACATACACAGGCCATTCTCTGCTAAAAACAAACCAGCGATGGATAACAATGCAGTAAAAATTCATTGTAATAAGGAAAGGAGGTATGACACGTAGAAAAAATGTATACCACGGAACACTAGAATGTTTTATTTATGTGCTGATTTGTCATGTGCCCGATTTTCATGTAATGCAACTTCACAATGAGCTACAAAAAGTCGACATGTCTTGCCTCGCCTGTCACCTCGACATATTTTTGTAAAATTAATAAATACACCCTACTTTCGGTTTTGCAGCGGCACGGGCTGTAATATTTACATAAAAAGTAAGAAATAATACATACATACTTTGTTAGAATAAGTGAACTTTTTATTTGGAAATTATAAAATGATACTGGTTCCGTAAGTAATAAAACATTTTTATTGTTATTTTGCCTGTTTTCATTTCAATGAACCTCTTTTTTTAATTCTATGCCGTAGTGACGATATACATGTGCGTGTACGGAAAAAAAACATGATGCATAAATATTGATTAGTAGGAGTAAACCTCAAGATCTCTGCACATGCGTATATTTCACTTTAGAGCTCTTCGAAACTTAGCTCCGCCCACTTGCGTTTTATAATATAAAACGTACAGTTTATATAAAATCTGTTCTATTAAGATTTGAAACCTAAAAATTTGAAAAATCCTCGTCGGTGATTGGCTTAAAAAAATTGGCGAGCACTAATACGGTATAAACGAAATCACTGTACCCTGTCTTGTTAGCCTATACAATTCAATGTGTACCCCGTCTTGTGATTACAAGCACATGCTACTTCCTATCTCTGTACCCTTCTTGGTAGCCTATATATTTCAACTTGAACTTTTCTTGCAATAACAGGAAATAGACTTGTTTATATACTGTAAAATTGTGACAAAGCGTTGAATAGTTCTCTTTGATACATTTTATGTACATATGTACTATTGATGAATATTTTATATAGACAGGTACAATGTGGATTAACTCACACAACATGTTTGATGCCGCAGCAGGTTTTGGTGGATATAAACAGAGTGGATATGGTAGAGATGGAGGGAAAGAGGTGTGATATAACATTCTGTAATTCTCAATACATACTTTCAACATTCTGTATATCATATCTGATATATTAAAAACATTTAGAACCTCTTTACTTGTTTCTAAACGTATAAGATAACTGAAAAATATTTAGTTCAATGACTGCATTTCTTATCAGAAATTTGTATTGGATCAGGGTTGAAATATCGGGGTTTCTTTTAATATCGCATGTATGTAATCCTGTACCTAAAACATATCAAGGGGGGCATCTGTTTCCAAGAGAGTTAGGTAGGTGACTTCCAATTACTTGCTTTTTACTGCTGTGGATTTGTATCCAACCAGGGACTTTGAATTCATTAATGTGAAGAAGCTATCGGATAATCCAGTTATCTTACAGAACATTGGTGATTCTAATTTACTGTTCAAGCCTGAAATAATGTGGGGAAAGGCACCTGAGGTCTTCCTTCACCAGTAAACCTTGAAAGTTACTATATGACCTTACAGTACCAAATAAAAGCTGCAACAAATAAAGATATTTTCTATCTCTAAACCTTGTGTGTATAATCTTCATGATTTATTTTTCTACATGTTTGATGAAAATCAAATAGCATTTCAATATAATTACAGGGATTGTATGAATATGTTAGGCCAGCTTGGGAGTCACGTCCACGTCCTGCAAATGTTGAACTTGATTTGAAGACATTTGGTGCAACCATAGGTAGCAGGCCTAATGTCGGTGGTAATGAATGTGGCAAGGGAGAAATACCGAAGTAAGTTCAACAATATAATCTGTATACTTAATTAATGAAGTCATAATTGTAGGACTCGTATTTATAAATGTAACATCGATATTATGGAACGTCAGTGGTTCTACTCAGGTGCCCGTTCGTGCCTGAAATAATGCATGGAATGGCACCTGAGGTCTTCCTCCACCAGTAAAGCTTGAACGTCGCAAATTGACCTATACTGTGTCGGTGTGACGTAAAAGCCAATCAAACAAAAAACAAAAAAACATTGATATTGAACATTTACTTATGATCACATAAGTATGATGGAACAATACAGGAATAATTCTTGGAAAGAAAGTTACAAAAATAGTAGAATTGTTTTGATCCGCTGCATAAAAAATTGCCACTTCAGCAGTGAGAAGAAAATATTTTAAAATGACCATCTTTCTTTGTTAAGGAATTAAGATTCCCCTTTGTAGTTTTTGCGCTATTTTATTTTCATTCAGAAAAGGTTCATTAATTATCATTTTCTTCATAGAAAATTTCTGGAGCTATATTTATATGTAGGATTGATCACACATATAAGATGTATTATGGTGGAGCACAAAAGAGACCAGATGCTCCGTATTCACGCCCTGTCACCAATCCCGACGGTAAAGTTATAGGTCATGTTGGAGAAGGTAACAGGAAAGATATCAGAAATGCAGTAGAGGCAGCTCATAGTGCTGCTCCAGGGTTGGTATTTATATGTACATAAATTGTATTTTATGTAAAATTGATAATCATCAATCTGCTGGTCCCATGTCAGTCACTATGATTTCAATAGTTCTCTACATAAGTCATTCACTATGATCAATTTACAGTTTAACTTTTGAAATTTTTATTGGACAAGCCAAAAAGTTCAGATTTAGGATGTTTCTGGAATTTTTATGTCCATAATTAACCGAACCACTACATAATTATGTGAAATATCAGATATGAAAAGAAATATGAAGTTCTTGAAATTTTATAAAAAGCCATTATATGAGAACCAAATCTTAGTAAGTTTATTGAATATTACTTCCAGCTATCACTGACTTTGTTGGTACAAAAGTAGTAAGTTTTACCAATTTAAAACATGTTTGATGTGATGTGATCATCTGAATTGATATTTAAATTAAGTGAAAATTTAAGTTGATGATGCAGATGAGCGATTTTTGGCTTTCACAGTCTTTTTTTAACATGGCAGGTGGGGAAAGAGAGCGGCCCATAATCGGGCACAGATTGTTTACTACATGGCAGAGAATCTTGAGATCAGGAAACAAGAGTTTGCAGGTAGAATACAAGAAATGACAGGAAAGTCACTAGAGGAAGCTCTGAGAGAAGTTGATGTTTCTATAAATAGGTTATTCCATTGGGGAGCTTATTGTGATAAATATGGTGGTTCAGTACAGGTATTATATCTTTTTAATGTTTTCAACCCTTAACACATTAAGTATCTGTACTAAATTTGTCAGTCTTTCAGTTTAGACAAAACCATTTATCTTTTTAAGGGAAATTTTGAAGAGAAAATGTTTACTGAATAGGGAACAGTGCAGACCATGATCAAACAATGGCACAGATGTGCTGGTTGATCTTGGTCTGCAATGGATGCATAGGTAGAAATCACATGTTGCAAGTAGGATAAGGTTTAATTTGATGAAAATGTTTAAAAAAAAAATTTGGCACAAAAACATGCAAATCAGAAAAATTTAAAGCAAATATCTGGGATTTACTGAATAATCTGGGGCCTTTGCTGTATTTTGGATGACAGATTGTGTAAATGTACAGTTTCTTCTTTAATAATGGAGAAAGCAACATTCATATACCAGTGCATATTAAACAAAATAGAAAAATAATCAAAACAAATTTAGAGTAACTGGCTGTGCTTGTAATAGACACACATGGAAAATAAAAAATATTCATTTTAAAGTCTTTACCAAATTGTACTTGATCACCAACCAGTGATTGTTTATGTTTAAAGTTCAGCAATAAATTGTTTGTCTTTGATATACTGCTTTTATAAATGAAAAGGCATCAGTAAAGCAGTGTTTGTTTATCTAAAGCTGTATTTTATTTATGATTTTTATGTGCGTTTTTGTGTCCCTTAAGATGAAATTAGTATTTAGATTGAATGACTTTCAGGAAACCACATTATATGGAGCAACAGTAAAGATACATGAGCCAGTAGGTGTGATAGGTATTGCCTGTCCGGATCAGTACCCGTTACTTGCCTTTGTGTCGTTATTTGCCCCAGCTGTGATCCGAGGTAACACAGTGGTGATTGTACCAAGTGAGAAATATCCGTTACTTGCCCTCGATCTTTATCAGGTTTGTTTATATATACGTCATTACATGAAATATTTCTAATATTCTAAAATTTGTTCTGAAGTACTTGATACATAAACAGCCTAAAGGTAACTACTGTCATTAGTATAGGGTTTAAGTAAATAGTTAGACTTGAATCAAATATAGGTTTTTTCATTATTTCCAACATACGTTTCTTGCAGTTAGTTCTGTGTTTTAAAAAAACAATGGGTGGCAGACAATGTCATTATTATAAATTAATCTCATTGTTTTTGTGATGGGTTTGACAAAAAAAAAATTGTTGGGAATAATTTACATGTACATGTAGACTTTATAAGGCTTCTGTGTATGGATGTATTCTAGCCTTAATCAGGGTCCATCTGCCCTTTCAGGCGCTGAGAGTTACGAACATAGACATGTCACCCTTCTTGTCACGTTTCATGTCCTTAATTTGCAATAAGTTGACCTATTAATTTTGAATTCAGTAATTATACTGAATATATGTTTACATAAGTTGATTATGTGATGTTTTGTACAGTTTAAATGAATGTATGTAATAGTGTAAAGGTCATTTTACAAAAAAAAAAACAACGTGAAAATCAATGTCACTGTAGTTCTTTTGTATTTTTTCTCCCTATTTAGATATTTGATACATCTGATCTACCAGGGGGTGTTGTCAACATTATCACAGGAGACAGGGACCATCTCACCAAGTTTCTAGCGGAACATCAGGACATTCAGTCTATGTGGTATTTCGGTGGTGCCGAGGGATCGAAATACGTTGAATACATATCTGCTGAGAATGTGAAACGTACTTGGGTAAATTATGGGTGAGTAAATAATCTTATCTTCATTAAATGATCAGTCAAATGTCACATGGATTTTGACAGAATTATGGCCCTTTTGATTTTAAGAAATTCTTCATTATCCAGCTCTTGTTTTACTTTCAGCAGTCAGAAATTACTCAGAATACTGACAGTTTTTGTCTTTATTTATACAGTGCATTGATACCTTATATGTAAAATAAGATGAATTTGGCTAAAGTAACTCAGGCAGGTGAGGTGGTTTGTCAAAAGTCTGTCCTGTTTAGGTGCCATATGATGTGCATTGTGTTGATTAGCCAGAAAACAAAAAAAAAAAATTATAGATTGCTATAAGTTATCAATGGGTGCCTGTTAATTATTTATAGAAACCTGTACAGTTGATACCAAACTTTGATATCTGTGTACATTTCTATCTAACTATCTTATATTGTTTACAGTATTGAGAGAGATTGGGAGGACTGCGAACAAGGTCAAGGTGAAGAATTCTTGTATCATTCCATTCAGGTGAAAAATATCTGGATACCTATGGGAGATGTGTTTGCTAACTAAACTTCTCTACATATCTATTATGTAGAGGTGATAAAAAAGCAAATGACTGTTAAAAAGTAGCGGTTGACATTCCCAAATATACTTACTGGATGTTAATTTTATTTACCTTTTTTTTCGAAAGAAAAAATTTTTTTGTTATTTTTTTCAAGACAATCTCAAGTCATTATGAGTTAAAGACACATTATGCCTCAGAAACAATTTAATTTTTACTTCTTTATAAAGGGTTAATTAAATAATATGAATTTCATAACATTTAAACCATGGTTTAAGAGCATATCAGATGCTTTGTTACCTGAGGAAAGTAGCATTAAATGTGAAACAATTCAATTAATTTGCGAATGAGTAATCTAATGGAAACAATTAAAGTACACGGAAATAAGTTTTTGAGAAATTCAAGTATTTCTGGGGCATAATGGGCCTTCAAATAATCTTGATAGAAACAGCTACAACATGTGTTTGTTTATATCAAACATTAATAACTGAATTTATGTATCTTTGTTAACATTTTATAAAAAGGAGAATCTTGTTGAAATGAAAAGATTTGTTAACTTGTTTTGGACTGTAATATAGAATGTTGTTTTTGTTTTTTTTTATTATGGCAGCTGTGCTTTCATAGATTGTGTATGAATTAACTACCAATAATATAATGGAAATAATGTAATCATGTTTGATGCTAGATTATGTTGATACTTTGTGATATACCCAGTTACAGTGTTGAATCTAGTACAGGGACAAAATTAGGGCACCTGACAATATAATTAGAATAAATTAGATTAATCACTATTTACAAAAAAAATGTTTTTTGTTTGTGGTATTTTACAGAAGAATGTATGTAAACTGTATATATATGTGTATATATTTGTATGTATTTGGGTATTCAGCTAAAAATTTATATCCTAGAAGTTTTGGTATCTATGTAAGAATCTCTTTGTTTGTTTCTTTGATTTAATTTAGCAACCAATTTGTTTTATTATTTGTTTTATTACAGAACAGTATTTGATGTGAACTTTTTTTTACATAAATCAGTATTTAGATTATTTTAGAAATCTCGGTGAAGACCTTCAAACTTTTATGGATAAATGTTTTTGGTTTGAACTTAACCCTAATTTTGTTAATGTCAGTCATTATTTTGTCAGTTTTATTTCACTTCAGTTAAAGAACGTAGTGTAATAAATGATGAATTTACATTTTAGAAGGGGACATTGATTGATCGGTATATTCAGAATTTATTTTTTTAAGTTCGATTTTGAAAAAAAGCTATTAGTTTATAGGCACACTCTGGAATCTGTACCAGTACTGAGCAATGTGTATAAAGTTTCTTACACAAGGAAACATCGGCTTGCCCCTGACATGGTTTGAACCTACACAGAAAGTGATATATAGATTACTAATGGCATGCATTTACTAGTGGATATGTTGATGTAGCCAATGGTCACATAAATATGTATTTTTGTTTATGTTTTAACTGTTTGTAAGTTTTATGCTACTCTTATACCAAATTTGTTTTGGAAAAAAAATATATTGTAATTGTAGATGTCAGAAATTGAATGTAAAAATTCATGTTGGATATGTATTTTATACTGTTCTGTATGCTAGTCATGTACTATGATTTAGAAAGTGTTCATACATTATTTTCATTTTTAATAGTACTCAGGTGATATGTTATAGTCAACCTTTGTTTTCTTGTTAAAGGAACTCCACCAAGGTCAAAAAGCCAAAAAACATAAAATTTCATATTCTTTGATAGATCAAGTGAAGCACTTAAAATGGAAAAATCTGCAAAGGATAATAAGGAATATACTCTGGATTAAATTGAATATCAATTCTGTGCAATTCTTAGACAGATTTGAGCCAAAAGCATTGCAATGATTTTCATATTTGGGTCATTTTGCACACAAAATTATTGTAATGGAAAAAGGGTTGTGGTAATGACCTGAGAATTGGCACACAAGTTATTGGTCTAGATCTACATCAAACGGTATACAAATACCAAAAAAAAAAAAATATTTCCAGTCCAATCATGCCGTAAAAACCTTTTGTGGAGTCTCTTTAACTTTTGTTCACATTTTCTCTTAAACTACTAGGCCAGTTCTGATAATAAAATAATTGGAAGATAGTGATTTACAAAATACATGTAGCTTAAATTGAATAAATTGGTCACAATGAAAGTAAAGAAAATACATGAATAGCGACCCTTTATTGGCTGGTTTTGTACAAAAATAGCTGAATTTTGTGGTTATTTTGAATATAGATTTCTATAGATATTTATAGATACCACCAGAAAAAAACATTGGTTTGCGAATGTTTTCAAAAAAATTTGGATGTACATGTACTTCCAGACTTCTGTTAAATATTTGATTCAAAGTAAATGTTAATTACATTTCATTGAGGCATGCTTTGCCCAGTGGTTCAGGTGGTTGACTTCAACCACCTGCCTCTCACCTGTGGGTTTGAATCCTGACAGAGACTTTGGATTATTTTATGTTAGGAAGCTATCGAGCGTTGGTTCTACTCAGGTGCCTGTTTGTGCGCTAAATAATGCACAGAAGGGCACCCGAGGTCTTCCTGCTCAAGAAGTCCAGATATCACTTTAAATAT